ACCCACTGCCAACTCTTTTACCAACAAATAGTGGGATTGACCATCACATTATAATGTCCCCACGGCTGAAAGGGCGAGCATGTTTGGTGTACACTATCTTTTGGACTATTTTGCATATTTGGTAGTACCATTACAATTCAGTGCACAAAACAGGTTAAAATACTTCATTTATGACAAAGCTAATGCTGGATTAATGTTACTGTTCTTACTAGAAAAAATGAGAGTTGTATTGGGGTCTAATTCTAAGAACGAAAACTGTATCTTCAAATAAGTGTACAAATTATATTCAGTAAAGAAATCAGTTTAATAAAAACTGTTCCAACAAAGTATAGTTTAATGTGTTCAAAAATCTAATATTTGCTGGAAGTTAAGAAGGTTCACCATCTGGAATATTTCTAAAAAATTACATACATTTTTTTATTCTGCACACATTTGTGCATCTTACTGGCTTTAAAATAATCCTTCTTTAATTGCTTTTTCAAAACTTGGTCTGACAACCAACTCTTTCACTCTTTCTAAGCTCCATCTGCAACCTCGAACAGTCAACAATAGATGCCACTTGTCACCCTGCTCATGCTTAGCTCTCATATCTATCTTAGAGATTCCTGTATTTTTTTGGATATAGTGTTTCACATCATCTTCCTTTTTCATAAAAGGGCTTGAAAACTGTTCATTGTAAAGTGAAAGGTGAATTACTTCCCACTCATCTTGTACATGTAATATATCACATGTGGTTTGGGTATCAAAGTCTTTAAAATACAGACCATCAATTCTTCCATACACCAGCTTACATAACATAATCAATGCTATAAGACCAGCCTCTTGCTCAATACAGGTAACACTTTTCTCACTCCTGGCATTATTTGACTTCATTCCACCACTTGCCATTAATTCCAGACACTGTAAAACCAGACTTCCTGCTGAGACATTATCTAGATTTGACCAACTTTCTTCCATAATATTTTTGAACACTCTGTCAATATAACTTTGAACATCAGTGCAAAAGGTCGAAAGGGAAAACAATTTGCTATGGTAATGAACCCACCATTGAAGTAATTTTAAAGCCTTAGTTGCTTGCAGAAATAGGTTTTGTTCTGGATAATTGAAAGTGTCAGCTATACTTTGTGAAAAACAAATGCTATTAATTCTAGCAATCAGTCTCTGTTTCTCTGATATTTTGGTTTCCTTAGCAGTTTGTATTTTTCTAATCACAACTAGTAAATCTGCTACAATCCACGGTAACCCATAAAAATTGGCTTCACCAAAGTTATTCTTGTTTTGTTCACAAGTTACCTTGTACCATGCAGAAGCTTTTCTTAATGCTTTGTCTACGCTTTCAAGTGGCAGACAGTAATCAGAAGTTTTGGTTTTAGAACCATTACTAAATTCTCTATAGAATTCTTTCTTCAAAGATTCAAACACATATTGAATCTGATTTTCCAGCACAATACCTACATTTTTCATATCATTCCTTTCTTGTAAATATTTTGAGAGGCGAGTTATGCACATAGAAGCAAGTTCTCCTTCACTTTCTACACCAAATATTTTCATAGTGGTTCTAAGGGTGAAAGAATACTTTTCCAATGCCTCTTTAGCAGATTCCAAGTATTCTTCCAAACCTGGATATAAGAGATAAGTGTCAAGATCACATTCAAGTTTTTCATTTGCTGTATCAATGGCAAACTGTATTCGCTTGCAATTTCGATACAGGTGTCCTAATGCGCGTTTTGAGAGATAAGAGCTCTTGTGATCAAGTTTGTCCATAAAGTCAGGATATTGCCAGGGAAAAGAATCAGTGTCCGATATTTCACAAATACCACTTTTAGCAAAATCTAAATTTTGTGCATAATCCTTTGCCTTTGATAAACATTTCTGAGAAAAAATTCCTTTTTTTTCACAGTCAGCCCAAACAAGGTGAGCATTAGCCACCCGTCCAATTCCACTGTCCTTTTTAATATATTCAGTAAAAAATTTCAACATATCAGCAACCTGAAAAAACAAATTAAAGGGTAAAACAATGTGCTAATACGTATTATCAACAGCATTATTCTCTCATAAAAGTATCACAAGTTACAAATAACTTTATACACCATACAAAATTTATAATTCTAATTGACATATGGTATAATAAAATATTATAAAAAACAATTATGTAATTGTATATAATGTCTAATTGTAATGGAGAGGAAATTCATGAACCTGAGTGTTGTCCTCAGGTGGAAAAATAAATTCTGTAGATGAATGTTCCAACAGTACGATAAAAGATACCACCAGATTGAATAATAGACAGGGCTGCATTTATACATAAATAGGGTAGGCAGCTGCCTAAGGCAACAAAAATGTAATGAATGAGTGCCACAATCCACTACACCAGGCGGGGTACCAATACAGAGTGTTGAGTGATCATGTGACTGATTAATGACATAACTAAAACAAAGGCTTCATTTCCGGAACAATCATGTTGAGGTGGGGGCAGCAAAGAATTATCTGTCTAGGATGACCCTCATAATGGAAATTTTACCTTTGTGTAACATTTCTTTTGATCAAAAATATGGCCAATTCTGCAAGATGTTCCTTACAAAAGAATGACCTCAGGTTTTAATTAATAAGGACTTTGAAAAACTCCTCTCAGTAGATACAACAGTCACTAGAGCTTTCAGTTGCACCTTGAAAGCAATGCATAAAATGAGATATATTTCTGGTAAGTTGTTTTTATAAATAAAGTGCAATGTTCTGAGAGTGTCAAATGTTTGTTGGAGAATTAAGCTAGACTTTGAAGTTCAATCAATAAGTTCATTCAATAAACAGCTGATTTAGCTCCATCAGTGCTGGGTGGTGCTACATCTAAATTCATTCAGGATTTTGCTAGTTTTGTAGTTCTACATTTTGAATTGCTTTAACAGTCCTCAAAATTAGTAACAGCATATAACAAAATTATCAGAAAAGCCTTGGCATTTTATGATGAATGTCGACTACCATCATAAGAAAAACTTAATTATTTTTTAAAATTATTTTTGTGAAAAAATTCAAAGATTAAGATTTATAGAAAAATAAAATTGTTGATAAAAACTGGAATATTTAATGATACAAACACCTCATGTTGTCAGTTACAAATGAATTTAGTGGATTGCTGTAATGAGCAACCCTAGAAGTTACACATCTGATGTGTTAGATTTTGTCACATATATATGTGTATTGCTTGAGGAAAAGCCAAAAAAGTAGCATTATGAATTTACTTTCCACTTCTAAGTTCTAATGTGTATTTAAATATTTCGTATTGGATCACTAAAAGTATTGTTAATTCCCATTTATTATCTTTCACACTGTATTAGTTTAATCAATAAAACGTTTATTTTAATCAAGTCATGTGTAGTTTCATTTTGGATTATTGCAGGTTTTCGTATCAGAGAGGATAGTGAATGTAATTTGAGTTTCTAACTCGTACAGAATTATAGACTTAGTATTTTGACCTCACAACCATCTAATTTGAACCAGTGCTGCATTCAACATTCT